TCAGTAAGGTAGTGCATGAGATGAGCTCAAAGTGTGACGCTATAGTTAGCTTACTGAAGGATAATAACAGATAAATGGCCGGGTCACTAAAGTGAAGATCCCGGTGGAAAGTTTCTCAGGCTGAGTTGCAGAACTTTTGTTGTTGACACTATTACCACAGGCATGCAGATTTAGATCTGCGTCTGTACTGAATGCGATATGACTGTGATGAGGCAGTGAGTAGCGCTGCGCCCCATGCTGGCTAACTGCATTTTAATAACTAAAATAAAATTATTTGTGTTGGACTGGCTGGAAGAAAATATTTTTGCCAATGCAACTCAAGTCTGCACACAACACAGAGAACGTTTTTGATATCCATGTGTTTTCTATCATGTAAATAACTATTCGGCTCATTCATAGTTTTATTGTGGCCAGTCACATTTACACTTACACTTTGCACATTAGGAGGAACAAAAGCAATGAGCTTTTGCAATGAGACTAATCTTTTTGTTTCAGGTTGTTTATAGTAAGGTGTTGTGTTATTGCAGAGGCAATTTGAAGTTAGGTGGTCTATGAGTGTTAAATGTGGTAAGCGGTCCTGAAAAAGTTTGAGAAATACTGTTTAATCAATAACATCACGTCTCAAAAATTAGATGTTTGGAGGAAGTTAAGGAATGAACTGCTCATGGTTCGCCCCTCTTGAATGTGAAAACTGTCTTTTTGTGGGTACTTCATCTCATGAACACGTTCTGATGCAAGATCACATCGTGTCTTCATAGTACAGCAGGTCTCTGCTTCAGGGGCAGGAAGAGCAGAAATCTCACACTCCAAGAAGAAAAAACGAGGGGGAAAGAGAAAAGCATGGCTGTCAGCATGTTCCCCGCTGCACCAAAGATTAAACCGCTTTCAGCACGTCAGCATGCACTTGGACTAACAAGTCTCTCCTTCTCTGTCTCTCCTCTGCACTGACACACACAATCCAACACACACGGGGAATGTCCTCAAATGTCTCCTTGACACGGGGGCTTTTCAGCGGAGGGAGAACAGCTGATAAGGAGGAGAGGGATGAAGGGCAGGCGAACAACAACGCATATCGCTGCCGGCACACCAAGAACCGTTTGTCCTCTTACCGTCTTTGTGCTTCAGATTTTGTCACACTTGAACGTTTCAGATCGTGAAACTAACATTAATATCAAACAAAGACAACCTGAAAAATACACAAAGCAGAGATTATCTGTGCTAGCTGACCTGGCCTTACATGGAATCAAATCATGAAGTAGCTGTGGTTAGCTAAAGCGGAAATATTATGCACATTTTGATGTTTCTATTTGGTTCTCAGATTCTTCTAAGAGCATAAAACAAAAGCCAAATTTTCATAAACAAAAATAAAAATAATAAAACTAATAATAAAACAAAAATAATTTTCAGAAACCTGCAGAATGTAGTGTCACAAATCAGAAGGCACTCCCTCTCACCTAGCAACCCAAATGAATCCCAGCCTGTCACCTAGCAACCCAAGCAGAATTCCAGCACATTTGTCAGCTGGTTGTACAATGGCTGCTGGAAAACTCAATTATTTTGTTGTCGACTTACCATCCAGAAACCTCTTGCTGCACTCTTGTTGGTTGTGGAGGAGGCTCTATTAATGCTTTTCAAAGATGTATGGTTGCATAAATGCACATCTACTTACAGTCATTGTCAGGTGCAAGTGTAAACGCTGAGTTAAGGGGCGTGGCTCACAGCAGTGGCTTATTTGGATTTAAAATGACAAGAGGCCCCAAAACAACTCAAAATAGGTATAACTGATCAGACAGAAATCTCATTAACTAAGAATGATTTTGTGCAAAGAAATGTAATGAACATATTTTATATAGCCCATAGAGCTATCCTAACCTGTTCAAGAAAGCAAAATAAGTCAGCTTTAAATATTTTGTTTAATTTCACAAATTGTGTTACTGAAAAAACACAATTCTCAAATCACTGTGTTTCCATTAAGTAAGAAATCCAATTAAAATCAAACGTAAACAAGTTTGCTAACATGAGAAATTAAAAAACATGCAGCGCCATGATCCTCCAAATACTTCCTGTTGTCGTCTTCTTTGTGGTTTGCGCCAGTAGGAATGTCCGGTTGTCTAACATATGACTCATGTGATGTGAAGAAAGTGTTTCCATTGTAGTTTTACGTAATAAACCAAAAAACCACCTGATCCTAGCACCAAAACTTTTAAGCAAAAAAAATAGTTTTTTTGAAATTGCCATTTTTTCATTGGGTGAATTTACTTTCTAAGAATACTTATACAGTAAATGGAAAAACAGCTATAAATAAACAAGAAACAAAGATTGATCTGTGTGAAGAGTGGAAATAAATGACAGAAATATCAGGTTTTTATGACAGTTGGCACGGTTGCATATAGCCCATATTCTAGCTCCCTACAAAATAAAAAGAAACACACACACACGGAAAGTCATACTGCTGGGAGCAAAACTAAACCCTCTTCGCTTCACAGGTCATGGAAATGCTCTGAATTTACCAGCCATGACCCAAAAATACCTATTTTCACTGCCCCGATCGCACTCTGATTATACATGCACACACAATCCCTTTACATAGCAGCTGTAGCCAGTACTAACGAGCAGTCAATTAAAAGAAAACAGAGAGGAGCTTAGATTTAATTTTGATGTCACTTCTTTCCATCCAGCGACATTGATGGTTGACTTTCGCTTACCTTTACACCCGTTTTCTGTCAAAACATTGGCGCGTCTTTTGCCAGTGCTGGTCTGAAGCAAGAAACAAGCTAAACGTAGCTAGAAATAAATACCAGCAGCAATGTCGGTACTTGTGAAGCTAACAGGACAAAAACAACATTTACCGCGACAGAGGCCTGTTTGAAGCAAACCGAGGTCAATGCGTTGGGATTTTTATGCCACTGTGCTTGACTGATGCAAAAAAGCATCTGTGAGCAACATGAATGTTGATGAGGACTTCCCCATGAGGAATCAGGTTGGCCTTCCTCTTGTCACACATCAATTCATAATGCATCACAGACAGCAGCTCTTTTCGCTTCATTCTAGTTTACTGCTGCAGTATGTATGAAGCTAAATCTCTGCCAACTGAGAGCGTACTCCTCTTTGTGTCGCTCGGAGGCCAGATTACATAATTAGCACTAAGTTCAGGAAGGTTATGGTAAAAAATCCTGACATGGTTTTGTGTTAAAAATGTTGACAGAGCTAAATTAAGATACTCATGCTAATATGTTATGCGCAAAACCCACACACCGACTCTCTGACAGATCATCAGTAGAGAAGTTGCATAAATTAGCTAATCACCTACTGCTAGTGTTCAGACGACCACCTATTAATAATTACGAATTATAAATAAAGCCTGAAAACCTGAAACTGTAACAGACTGATTGTTATGTGTTGTGGTTTTTACGTCCTGTTCTGTTCTTTGATTCTTTCTTTGTTGATGCTCCTGATAAGACTTAAATGCAATTTCTGCTCTGCCGGCTAGTGGAGCTAGCCGGCAGAGCTAGCTCCACTAGCTCTGCCGGCTAGTGGTCGGTTGTCAGTCCGTTGCCATGGGAACCTAGGTGTGTGGTGTTATTTTCTCCTTGTTGTGGCACGCTGCATCTGCTGTAACTTCAATAAATGACAAAAACTGGACAAATTGCCTTGTTTCTTCGTAGAGCATCAAAATATTCATAACAGTTATATAAGATATTAAAAAAAACACTAATGTCTCCTACAGTGACAATTTTGTAAAATTAAATTAGCTGTCCAGTATAAAAGAGAAATTCATTTAATCCTTTCTTGTATCTTGACAGAAACCAAACTGTATAGACTTATATCTAGAGAGAACACAGGTATTGATTTTCTCAGCTTAAAATAAGTCACATCGTATAGAAATCTGATAAGAAATTAACTTTTTTGTGACAGAATCCTGTTCATTCGACTTTGGAATAGTTTTGTTTTGTGCATCACTAGCTATAGCGGCTAATAGGTGCTATCCTATCCAGTAATGCGGATGGTCTTGTGGACCATCCTGCCACTCTTTTTAGAAAAAAGTAGCTTTTCTCTTCAGCGCTTTCATACAACTCATAGCCCTTACTACTTTTTGAATGGCCCAAAACGCTACTTTTACACCTCCAGGCCTGCAGGTGGCGCTAAATAAAGAGTATGGGACATAAAGCCTCCATGTGAGATTAGCGGTAATCAGTGCTTTTCAGTGCTTTTCTAATTACTGCCACAAAACTTTAATATATGCTAACATGCTTCTCATTTATTGTTGATGTCTTTCCACTTTGTCATTGTTAAAACACATTTATATGACCCAGACTTGCTTTTCTATTGGTGGTCACACTTACTGATTATTAATCAAGTGAGTCTGATTAACATCTAATGGATGCTATGAATGCTACATTCCCTCTTAGCTAGGCTAACTGGACATAGTGGACATTGGTTGGAACGTTGATTTATCAGCAGGCGAGACCGTCAGTTAGTGTTTATTTCTACACAGTGGCTGTTCAGATTGGGGAATTTGTAAAATTGCGATGTTTATATTTGCCTCTTCACATAATAGCCATTGTGTTTGTGAGTCAGTGGTGTCACTGCAGGAAACAAACAAATCATCTTTTTTCCTGTAATGTTGACAGAGGGAGCACAGCCGCAACCTGTTATTTTTCTCTTACAGACTTATGAAGGTTTAATATCCGAGTTTAATATCTTTCATATTTGTGATTTGATGGAAAATGTTTCTAGAAATTACGTGACATCATTCAGCTGAGTTATATGCCCTAAAGCTAAAATGGAGCTGCCGCCATGCAGAAAATAACCACAAAAAAGTATGTTTTAAGCATTTAAATCAGAATTTTAACTAAAACTGACAATCTTTAGCTTGGTGTTTCTAACTTCATCTTTGTTTTTGGTAATGCCTGGTTAAACTGACACACTTTCGGATTATAGCGACTGAATTTTTGTCCCAGTTGTTCAGTTTTATTGCTGAAACTTTATGTTATTTGTACCTTAGAGTTGCTGTGTCTTTCCAGTTTGTCAGCATCCTTTTCTTTCTTCTTCTCCTCTTTCTTCTTGTCACGCTCCTTCTGCAGTCGAGAAAGAAAATATTACTCCCTAGAAAATTAGAAAAGAAGTCAAAAGTCAAGATGGGAAAACGTAACTTGAGATTTAAGATCCCAAATCTAGAAAAAAAAAAGAAATGTAGTTTCGAAATATTAAAATTTTATGTTTTCTACCTTGAATTTTCAATTTTATTGCAGGAAGTATAACCCTTAGTACTTTGAATGGCCCAAAATGCTACTTTTACACCTCCAGGCCTGCAGGTGGCACTAAACAAGGAGTACAGGACGTAAAAGTCAAGCCAATGTTTCAGCATTTTTACAAAAAGGTAAGATTTTCAGTCTGGAATCTATTTTGTTTCCCCTAAAAACAAAACGTGTGGAAATGGGACACAAAAGGTTGCAAACTTTCCTGTTTTAGAAAAAAAGAAAAAAAAAAACATTCCTGTGTGTGCAGAGCCTGAGAGGCGGTGAATAAAAATGCATGCCGCACTTCTCAGATTATTAGTTGATGTTTTTTATATGGTTATTCTTAGGCTGTAATATTAAATTCACTCTGAAATTACACTCTATGTTTATATATCACACAAATTTCAATTAAAGTTTGTGGTTGTTTGTTTATCTGGATTCCCATTAGCCGTTGCCGTGGCAACAGCTACTTCTAACTTTGGTCCAAATCATAAAAGCACTTTTACTCCAGTCACTGTTAAAACAATTACACACACTTAATATAACATTAGTAACGTAACATATTAATTAATTTAAAAATGTCCAATTATAACACTTTAGATAATAAAATCAAAAGGATTAGCTACATTAAAATATATATATAAAAAAAGGGAGTTTAATGTTTTCATTCCTCTAAAAATAACACTTTTGTCCAGCATTGCTGTTACATTATGGAGAGTAAAACAACCTTTTAAGGCAAGCGTTGTATTCATATTTTAAAAGTGATTATACAAGAAGACATTGAATAGCATAGTTATAACATGACAAAATGTAAAAAAAAAAAAGTTCAAGAGATATTAACACTGTACAAAATGGGCTTAAGAGTTCAGATTATTTATTTAATTACACTTCAACAAGCCACATAAGATAATAAAATAACAAACACCCTATTTGGTGTAAAAATAGCACCATCAATTCGACTCCGATCATAATTAACATGCAATGTTTGACAGGAAAGCAAAATGAAGGCAGTTTTCTTCCTCTCCAGCCCATCTAATTAAAACGCCGCATAGGCTGAAGCTACAGCATCACAAAGGTTTGCTGTACGTCACATCTAGAAGTAGACATGTATCCCTAATGTGATATTAGTGCACTCAGTGTGCAGATTTAACACGCAGACATCATTCAGCACTTTTTCAGGTTAATGCTTCTGTGTGCTGCGTTATGTGCAAATGAGGCTACAGGGTTTAGGTAATGGTTGCCAGAAAGGCTGCAGTTTAGCGAGCGTAGCCTATAATCTTGCCATTATGGCAACAATAACTCTCAGATGCCTCTGCTCTCCACTTGCTGCTTAGTTGTTAGTATTTATTTATGTGGAGAGGCTGATATTTCTGCTGGGATCCTGATGAACAGAGGTATGTACGGATCAATATTTAAGAGGATGGGAATCAAACCAGACAAGGGAATCTGTTTTGACTGCAGCAGCTGCTGCAATTTTTCATCTTGGAGGAATAAAAGGATGAAATAGTAGAATTTAAACCAGAAAATAAGGAAAAAGCTCACAATGAGAAAATCTCTGATGACTTTATTGCTTAAATTTTTTAACTCTTGACTATTTTTCTCAGATATAAACAAGAAGCAGGAAAAATTATAGCAATTAAGCAGCTAATGTGCTATAAAAAAGCATTTGCTCCTCTGAAAGATTTATTCTGCTTTTAAATTTTTCATATTTAATTTCATTTTAATTTGATCTTTGTTTCACTGAGATCAAAGATCTGATTAACAAAAGAGAAATGTTAAGATAAAACAAAATATGACACAAAAATAAAAAAATATATACTTACATTATAACCTTAAATTATGCTTTTTGTACCTAAACCTTAAAAGCAATTTATATAAATCCAATGTGATGAAATTTAAAGTGTATTTGCCTCTTTGCAGAATTTTTCTGCTTTTTTTTGTCTTAATTTAATGCTTCAGATTAAACAAATATTGGATTTTATTTTATTTTTACCTTTATTTACACAGGTTGTCCAATTGAAATGCAAGATTTAATTTACAAGAGAGATCTGCTTTGATAAAAATAAAACAAACAAAATTAAATCATAAATATTATATCTATAACTATTACAGATAATCTAATTAATACAAAATTCAGATTTTAAATTATGCTTTTTGTATCTAAACCATCCTGGCCTTGTTTAAAAAACGTCATTTGAATTGAATTGAAATGATTTCTACAAATCTGGAAGAAATTTTCCACCAAAAAAAGCAAATTATCATTTAAAAACGTAAGTTTGTGTTGACTGATTAACTGACTGGCGTCGTCACGGTTTTGTAAACATCTATTAGAGAGTTTGAACATATTATCTCCAAACCTCCCTGCCCCGCTCCAGGTCTCTGACTCCATTAGCTGGGAGCTAATGATGCTAGCATTACCCAATTTGTTTGTGCAGCATTAGGAGGCCATTATGCTCCAATCTGATCGCTTCTAATAAAACAGAAAACTGCAGCGGCGTTCACTCCTTCACAAATGATGTTGACTAACACCTGAACGCTGCCATTTTCAATCAGTTTCTGTCTATTTAGCCAGCAGAACCCAGGAAAACTGACCATGTGAATATGACTAAATAAAAGTATCAGCAGACTTCAAAAAGTAAGAATGGAATCAGGAATTTGTGAAATGAACTATCAGCACAACTTATGTATAAAACAGCTTATGGTCTAAACAATTCATATAAAACTTATGAAACAATATTTTAGTAGTCAGGTTAAGAGGGACAAGAGCTGAACTCTAACTCTCCTCTTAGTCTGAAGCTGCAACACAGCAAGCCGAGATAGACTTTTTTGCAGGATAAAGAAGAAACCCAAACCTCTGATCTGGTCTTGTCAGCCTGGGAAGACGGCGAGGTTGTAGGAGCAGCCGCTTCAGCTTCCTGCCGAAAGACAGAGAATCGGCTGTTAGACATGAAGACGAGAAAAAGAAAAAAAAAGACAGAACGTTTAGACGAGCATGGCAAAGGGCATGGTGAGAAGAGAAAAGTTGAGCAGAGAGAGCAGAGAGTTAATTAGGAGTAAAGGAGGATTTGCTTCTTGTACACAGCAGTGAGTCTTGAGTCCTAAAAGTTACGGAGGCTTTATTAGCCGCTGCTGACCTCTGGGAAAGACTGAGCATGGCTGGACCTTTGTTCTGGTCGTTTCACCAAGCAGCGGATTTCTGAAGTCATAACAGAGTTTTAAAGCAGAAAAAGGTTTTTTTAGATCAACGATTCTCAAACTTTTTTCATTTACCCGATTTAACAAACACTTTTAGACCAGAAATATTCCCCTGCAATAACACAGCATCTTAACATACAACCTGAAATGAGGTGTTAAAATGCAGTTAGTCAGCGTGGGGCGCAGCGCAGTTCACCTCTCAACCCTAACCCTCAACACCTAAAGTAAATTATTTTATTTTATGTTAAAATGCAGTTAGTCAGCGTGGGGCGCAGCGCTGTTCACCTCTCAACCCTAACCCTCAACACCTAAAGTAAATTATTTTATTTTATGTTAAAATGCAGTTAGTCAGCGTGGGGCGCAGCGCTGTTCACCACCTCGTCAACATCATATTGCATTCAGCACGGCCACAGAGATCTGCATGTCTGCAGCATGCTATGTATCATTATAATGTTCAAAAACATGTTTTGCAACTCGCTCTCAGAAACTAGTATTTTCAGGTTTTCTTTTTAGTGACCCCGTCTTGAGCCATTTACCCGTTGTTATTTTTAAACACAATCATTTGGTAAGTCAACTGTAGTGTTGCACTTTGAGCTCACGTCACAGCAAATAAGCATACGTTTACATGCAGTACCTCGCGGGCCACTAGGGGGTGCACACGGACCACAGTTTGCAAGGACACAGACGCAAATCGCACCCACGTTTTGGTCCTGCACAAAAATCAAGGATGATCTGGAAAAGTCGATTTTCGGTCAACTTGCCATGTTGTTATTGCACGGAGCCGTTCCTGAGGCACTGAAGATGAGTGACAAATACTTATTAAATATCTTCAGTAATACAGCCAAAAAAATTGGTCACTTGAAAGTGGCTTCAACCTGATCCACTGATGCTATAGGACTGATTGGGTCTGATGGAGGAAACCCACAAAATGGAAACATTCACACCGAGACTGGAATCTGAACTTCACTAAAAAAATAAAAATAAAAAAGAAGGTGGAAATGGATTAGATGTCCTGAGAAAAATCAGTGAAGTAGGTCTCTTAGTCTGAAATTATTCATGCTGCTTCAAAAATTGGAAATTAAATCTGAAAGTTGCTTCATACCTGTAACTGTCTGTCTTTGTTAGAAATTAAGTATTGCCTCATGTTGACAATTGTTCTGTGTTTGATAAAAATGGAAAGCAATCAATAAAAACTCAGGTTCAGAAAGAGAAGAAAGAAGGAAAAGCAACCAGACGGCACGAGTTCCTCAAAACAAACACAGGAAAACCTCAAGGGTTTGTCCAAACAAAAATACAGAACATCTGGCGAGTTTAACAATTTATCCACCTATACTTGGTTTACTAATTTATAAGGGAGAATATTGTTAGAAATAAGTAATAATTAGTGTTTTAAGCAGTTCATCATCATTTAGAGAGAAATAAATGCTATTCTCCTATAACCATATTGCATTTCAAGATGTTTTTACCTTACACGTTAATTTAGTTTTTTGTTTTTTTCTTATTTTTAGATGTCATGATGGTTTTAAAACGGTCTGAACTATTCCTGTGATCTGATAATGTCTATCTTATTGTTTCTGTATTGGATTTATACCCAGATGCAGAGTTGTGTCATTGCAACCAACAGGAAATTTTATCTGCAGTAGCCACAGTTCAACCCAAAGGGGGCAGCACTGAGACTGTTTAGGCCAAATATTGCAAAATTAAACTAGTTTTTGACAGAAATGTAAAAATTTGAAAAGTAACATGAAGATAGTAACAACCCTAAGGTCCAAATTATACGTTTTATCTTAAAAAATGTTAACTTGGGGTTTAGCTACTCTTTAAAGTGAAAGCATGTTGTAAACAAACATACAGAAATCAGAACAAGGAGAACCGAGATCAGAAGGAATAAAAAAGAAAAGAAAAAAAAGATATTTGAACCTTAATAATGCTGATCAGAGCAGCCCACACTCAGGCTTACATTGACATTATGGTGCAAAACGTCGTCCTTCTGGTCCAATGTCAGGCAGCAAAGCTCACAATGTGGCTCTGCACATACAGAGGCAGATGAATAAAGGATAAGGAGGAATAACTAAAGACTTTAGGGAGAGACGGAAAGAACAAAGTAAGGAAAGGTTCATTTTCATTTCTCCATTTGCATGCACGGCACTTTCATGTTCAGGACACTCTGGAGACTTCAAACCAAGTAAGTGAAAAGCGCTGCTAATGCTTTCAGCCGCCTCGTGCCCACAAAATCCGTCATAAAAGCAGGTGAGCAACAAGAAATGAAAGCCCTACCATCATTACTGCCATTCTCAATCTGTCGCCGCGACCCGCACTGATCCACTCCCATCAGCCGCTTCGGCGCAGAACTTCCTGCAGCTCTTCTGCTGACAGTTAACAGATTTAACTTCTGATGCAACCGTGCCCTTGTCTGCATCTTGCTCCTATTTATGTTTTACCGTCTGGGTGTTTGCTCCATTTCTCGATGCATCGCGGATTCCCGGGAGATTTTCGCCTCGTCTAGCTTAAGCTTCTTCTCAACTGTGCGTTTCAAAAATGTGCAGAGAGTTTTAAGGTCAAAAGGATGGAAAAACAGAACAGAGCCGTGTAAAAAGCAGAGAATTTCATAGTGATTTCAAGGTGAGCGGTGATTTTGATACAAATACAAGAGAATTTTTATCAAGACACAAAACTGGAAGATATTTTTCTGCTCTTCAAATAATCAGTTTAATCATTTTTACAAAAAACCTGGGCAAAATTAATACACCATTTTGTTTGTATTGTGAGCAATGATAATCTTACTAATACCGTTTGCCTTGACCTTTAACCTCAGATGAAAACAAGACAAATACTTAAAATTAATTTGGAAAAACTAAAACTACAGTTAAAAGTAGATCAAATTCGAAATGGTTTGTGTCCAGGATGTGTGCGGTCCGTTAAATTTCCAATTCATGCAACGTTTCGTTCTTTCGTCTGAAACAAATTAACACAAAAAGTGAAGATTCAATCAGATATTAGACAGTAAAGCAACGAAACAAACCAGTGCAACCTCCCCAAGACTTCAATCTTCGCTTTTATTAGAAATGTTTTCCCGTTTCAGTGTTAAATGTTCTTAAGGAACTAAAAAATTTTTATCTTTAAGATGGTACACTCACATTAAAAAGCCATTTGTACCATTTTTAAAAAGCCAGTTGAAAACAGTCTCAAAATAGCTATATATATATATATATATATATATATATATATATATATATATATATATATATATATATTGCAATAAATCATATATTTACTCTTAACTAGAAATCTCCATTATAAAACTGTTGTACATTTTTCTTGGTGTCAGAAGAAAGCGAATAAATTATTTTCATGATAAATTGATAATTTCCATTCTGATTATTAATATTTTTCAAGGGAAAATTTCATAATTCGTTTTATTTATGATTTTAATTGCATGTAGATTTTTATTTCCGTTTTATTTGTTGTTGTTTTGGATATTTAAAATATCTTCCAGTTCCAGTGTTTAACGTTCTTTAAAGAAAAATCTAAGTTTATTAAGCGTTCACAGGACAAACTTCCATCATTATCCCATTACTTGAAAACGATCTTATCGTTTCTTGTAATAATTACTGGGACAATTTATTGTCCATCAAAATGTGTTATCATTTCTATTGAGTTTGACATTTTTAGCAATAACTGATGTCTTATAAGCTATAACAAATGACTGAATGTTTTGAATCAGGAGCCTCTTTACTTTCTCCTGCTGCAGATTAAAAAAGAAACACCTTTTGGCCTCTAATGCTAAAACCAGAAACATTTCCAAAAATAGGTGATCCAGCAAACATCAGTCCTCCTCCTCTCTAAAGGCCCTAAGGCAGAAAACTAATGCTGACTACCGAGGGCAGGACACAGAAACGTTTTCATCTTTCTCCATTTACATCCGTCTCCCTCATCAACTGTAAAGGCATCAAACGCTCTCGCTGCCTGTGGTGCTGAATTCACAACATTTTCCACTCTCTTCTCTGGCTCTGTTGGGGTCTTTTTGGGTTTTACCCCGCTCCCCGTTTATGTTTCCTCCTCCTATTTTTTGGACTTCAGAGCTGCAGGAGATGTGAGGCCGGCTGTAAACATGCAAAGACAGGGCGTTGAAGACGATAAAGAGGAAGAAGCTGGAGGGTGAAGAGAGACGAGAAGAAGAGCAGAGAACAAGACGACTGTTGAGTTGAACAGAGACGGAATAGATTTTAGGAGGACTATAAGTAAAGTAGGGAAAGAGTTTACAGGTATTGACCATTTTCACGTGACGTCACGCTCTTCAGGACCCCGCCCACTCCGCCATGCCGAATGTAAAAACAACTAATTCACTCCAATGCAGCCAGTCTTGGCTTTCATCTTAATCTTTCAAGTGTTAGAAATTTTTCTTCAGTCACTTCAAGTATTTGAATATTTCAAACTGTCAATGTTTTCCTCCAGGGATAGCTGGAGGAACATCTGTAACATAAAATCGCTTTTATTTAGTTGATTTCACTTTAAAATTGGTCACAGTATGCTGCGCAGTCGGCTGCACAAACAGGCAGGGATGCAAACCAAACGTATAATTTTATTTTATAACTTTTAATGAGGAAAGATGCCATGGCGATGGATAACAGCCGTCAATCATAATGACTGTCAGTCCGGAGCTAGCTGGTTCCAACTTTTGTAAAAACCACCGTCTGAGTCCCAACCAGGTGTGTTAAATTCACAGACAAATTAGCTCGACTCGTACAAGTAGAAACCACGAATAAACTGGTTTAAACAATTTCAGTCGCTCTGTTCAATACTCCCGTCCCTCACTTCCAGCTAACAGTCTCTTAAATTCTGCAGCACATCTACATGTTAAGGTTGTAAAAGTCAAGCTAGCATAGCTTACCAACTTCCCTCTTCCTCACCATTTTTTTTATTAAAACTTTTCACTGACCTGTGGGATGCGATACCCTTGGACCTTATCTTTTCATAATGTTGACAATTACTATCAAAGCACTTTTTCTTTAATATATCAGGCGTACATTTCAGATTTAGCGCATTATGGTGACAACTTGAAAGCTAAAACCAATGGTGGTCATTGTCGGTGAGCTGGAGGGCGTGACGCCACTTTGCAACTTGTCTGATACAAAAGGCAGAAAAACTCAGAAGTACTCTGAGAAAAAAACTCTCTTGCTGCCGGTCCTTTAATGTCCGCCGATGTCAGAGGATTGGCAGTTAACAAGGTCGCCACGGCCGAGGCCGTGGACACAGCAGGCGGGACAGTTCAATGACTAACGCAGACAAATAAGGTTGAAAATAAGCAAAGTCCCCCCTGAGGCAACTCCGCTGCTCTCTTGTGACATTTTTAGGCCAATCAGTGGAGTCATCACAGAGGGTTGGCAAGATGCACTCTGAAACAAGACGCACACACACACACAGCTACTAATTCACCCTTGACACAACAATGAAACGACGCTGCAGGAGCAGGGAAATGGAGAGCATGCACTCATGTACTTCAGCATGAATAAAGTCCTCAGAGCTTCTATTATCTGCTTTACCGTGACTCATCTGAAAACAGAGCCGCTGAAGCATGAAGCAAACATGCACAAAATATCTAGAATCATTCATTTCAACAAAAAACAAACTTGTTCTGCACAAAAGTTTTTAAATTAAATGTACAGGAAAGTCTGACTCATTTTTCTGAGGATGACCATGTTTGGTAATAATCACATGACCCAGAGATCCAATCAGAACGCGACATTAAAATCTCCACTTCAATGGTTCTCATATGTATAATCTGTATTTAGACCATGTAAATAAAAAGCTTTATTTTGTCAAACAGCTACACAAGATTTCTGTCTCCTCCGCACAGCATTTGTGTCCTCCGAGATGTAATCATAATCATTTGGGTTAATAATGGAATCTTTTTTATTTGAAATTAATTTTCAATAAATTTTGAAAATCTGTACATTTGAAAAACATTAAAATTTCTTTGAACATAAAGTTTTCCTTCACTTAGGAACTTGCAAAGTTACAACAAAACAATAATTATTTACTCTTTATTTAGCCCAGAATCAACATTAGCAAGCTCAACAGAGTAAAAAAGACAATAGAAATATGGTAATTTTAGTGCAGCCATTAAATTAAATAAATAAATTATTTACCTCCAGACCTGAACATAAGAGGATTAGCCAAGGGTCATGCACAAAGGTTGTTGGTAATCGCTTAAATAATAATAATAATAATAGAAGGGGTTTCGAAAGCCGCTAAAAATGCAGCCAAATGGCTAAATTGTCAATTGTGGCCAGAAAATGGAGTCTTTTCAAAATAAGAGCATACTAGACAAGCTAATTTGCCAAAAAAGAAAAAGTTCTGAAACTGCAAAAAGATAAATGTCATACATGGATTTCGTTTTTAACACTAAAATTGATTAATTTCAAAGCCTTAGCACACACATACAGTGGACTGCTGTCTGAGAGTTTCACTTTTACAACTAAATTACAGAAATTAATTGACTTTCATTACATTTTATTGCACGTTTTTAGAAGTTAAAACATACTATTTCCCTGACTGTTCAGAAAAATATCAATCAGCAGCACTTTACGACAATTCATGGGCAACTTACTAGTGGCATTGTAGTTTCTGTTTTGACTGATAAAACAGTACAATAAATCAGAATAAATTTAAAGTGCAACTAAACTATAAATTTAAAGCCCCCCCCCATCCCCCCCTTATGTCTCTAGGCTCCGCCCACTTGCCCCTCTGTCTCTAGGCTCCGCCCACTTCGGTGGAATTTTTCAAAACTTGTCAAGTTAAATCACAACTTTTACTTTACCGTTATAAAACCAGACGGCCTGAGTCATTATTCGGTTCCCAACTCAAACTGCAGCTCAGAGTTACCATCGTCCGCCCTCTCCTCTCCCTTCACCATCTGTGTGAAACTACTTAAAGTGATAATGAGTTGTTTTTAATAATCAATTTGCATATAAAAGCGAAGACGCGCGTGTGGGCAACCGAAACACATCCCAGATCACAGTCTGGCTGCTGGCGACGCCTCAGAGAAACACAGAAGAAGAGAGAGAGATTTCTCTGATGGTGTTCATCAGTTTCACAGCCTTTGCTGAGTTCAATTTAAAGTGTTTCCAGATTTTTTTCCGTTTGTCTTCTGGCTCCTAGCAGATGCAAATTGAAAATATCGGAGCAGAAAATATAATGTGACTCCATTACAAGGTAAAGTGTTGGGTAACAGAGACACAAAGTATTAAAAAATAAGATTTTGGATATATTTTGAGCTGAACATAATAAATAAAACATTTATTTTCCTCTCATTATGCCATGTTTGGTGGATTTGACCTACCTTAAAGTAAAAAAGCTGACTCCTGATTATTGTGTCTTAAAATCCTGTAGGTAATCCCACAGAATGGTGCAGCCACCACCATGTTTCACTGTTGCTTCGATGCCGTTTGGTGTTGATGATTGGCCAAAAATACAAATACAGCTAAAAAAACATGAAAAAGTTCAACATTTTCTGTCACTCACTTTAGAAACTAAAGCTCATATTTTGTATAAATTAATTACACATAAGACAGACTGGCGACCTGTCCAGGATGTACCCCGCCTCTCGCCCGGAACGTTAGCTGGAGATAGGCACCAGCACCCCTCCCGACCCCACTGAGGGACAAGGGTGTTCAGAAAATGGATGGATGGATGGATGGATAATTACACATAAAGTGAAATGTTTCAAATCTTTATTTCATGTCATTTTAATTATGTTTTCAATGTTTTCCTGAGTAGTTTTGGTCTCATCTTTACATCAGTTTTTGAGAAATATTCCAAATATGGACGCCTGTCTATTTTCCAATATTTCATACCCTTCTCCTGGCTGATACCTTCGTGAAAGAAGACACTTTGTAAAATGTCTGCAAACTATAACTTGGCAAAATGATCAATGTTGCTGAACTCAACAACACTCAAGTTGCTTCAACAAAAATATTAAAATAACGGTTTGCAAACTATTCCAAATTGGTGTTTGCCATTTTTTACAGTTTTCCTATTGAACAGAATGTGTTAAATTAAAGTTGTCTAGTCTCTACCTTCCTTCACAGACAGAGACTGAGTCTAAACACACAGAATTAGGAAGTCACTCTAAAAAGACTAAAGACAGTTTCAAGGGTCATCATTAACTGGGTTTGTAAAGTCTCGGCATCAGTTCTGTTTGTGCAGTAATCGGGCTTGAAAGAGTTTTCACTGCCTTTAAAGGGATTTAAAACCAGAAAATGTCATTA